GGAGAAAGGACACACTTCAAAATTACTGTCTCCAGCCCAGATCAATCTCCTAAATTCTCAGCATGCATATTCCATTGCCTCAGTCTCTGTGGGTCAGGAATCTGTATATATAAACCAAGCCCTATGGATCAGAGTCTCTCACAAGGCTGCAATCAAGTTGTTCCCTTTGGCTGCATTCAAATTAAGGCTCATGGGGGAGGATGCGTTTCCAAACTACCATGGTTGTTAGCAAGATTCAATTTCTTGTGGACTGTTGGACTACAAACAGTTTCATTATAAGTTTTGAACAGAAGCTTACCGCAGTTCCTTGCCACATAGGCCCTTCCACGGGGCAACTCGCAACATGGCAGCTGGGTTCCACCAGCGTGAGCAAGTAAGAGCCAGGATAGGCAAGATATAAGTCACCATCTCTGTGTAACCTAACCTCTGAAGCGACATCCCATCACTTCTGCCTGTCTTATCCCTTAGAAGTAAGTCAATAGTTTTTGCCCACACCCAAGGGGAGAGAATTACACAAAGGCATGTACAGCAGAAGGTGGAGGTCACTGGAGGTCATTTTAGAGGCTGCCTACTACAGCTCCCATAAGCATCACAATCTCAGCAAGTCCAAACTTCAGCTAGCTCCACCTCAAAGTTAGTGTTTCATATTCCTTAAGAAAATAGTGTCATTTAGAAAGAGGTGAAATCCAGAAACAGATGCACTACCTTTGATTCCTCCCTCTTCAATGACCTCTTTCTCTCCTTCCCCTGCCCCTAATATCATCCAAATAATCATTAAATTGTACCAACTCTATTGCTAAAAGTTGCTCTGTAATCTGCCTTATTTCCATTTCTGTTCAACCCTAGTAAAAATGACTAGCATTTTTCATCTGGACGACTTCCCTAGACTCATATGTAGTCTCCCTGCTTCCCATCTCGATTTCATCCAATCCACTCACTGACCATATGGTTGTCTGAGAAATCTTTGAAAAAGTAAAAATGTGAAAAAGAGAAAATCTGAATGCGGCATTCCTCTACTTAAAACTTGTATTAGTAAGGACCACTTTTCACTAGGAAAATTAAGGAAGCATAAAGCTGGCTTGGAAACAAAAGGATCTAGGGATTATAATTTTACCCTTAATGCAGAGGGGCTTTCGCTACACAGAAGAAAAGATGGCCACTGGCAGCCTGGACTCATATCCTAACAGTCTCCCAGGGAAAAAAGCTACCATTATCTCTAGTTAGAAAAGTCCTAAGAATGGATTTATATTGGCTAGATTTGAGTCACATGCTCATTACTGCGGCCAGGAGGATGGAAACTGATTCTATCTGGATCATGGGAGTACTTCTGTGGTTTGACAAACGCAGTCTGTTACTAGAAGGACAGAATAGCAATAATCTGGAGAATGACAATAACCATGTCAAAGCTCTTCAAGGCCTATTATTCCCTTAAAGGCATTCCATGACACAGCTCGTTGCTAGATTCATCTTGTCCCATTTTTACATTGCTTCGGCAATCTAGAATGCCTTCCAGTTCATAGAACATAGTTATCTTTTGCTGCTTGGTCTTCCCACATACCATTTCCTTTGTCTAAAATACATTTCCCTCTTTTCCCTTCCACTTCTTTCACGTGGTTATCTTTCATCTCTCAGATGCCTACTTAAACAGTACTTCTTCAGGGGGACCTCCCTAAACACCTAGAGTTCCCATAATGCTCCATACTTTCCTCACTGTAATACTAATTTGGGCTTTGTTAGGCCTATTTATTTGATCATTTAATATTCCTGCTAGATAATAAGAGCTCCAAGGACATGAATGGAGTCTCTCTTGCTTATTGTGTAAGCGTTCAGCAAAAATTTCTTGAAATAAAAAGTGAATATGCTGGGAGAACTATAGACAGAATTGAAGGAAAAAGAGAAAAAGTGATAGTAAGTAATAATAGCTACCATTTATTGTAATAATAGCTATCACTTATTAAATACTTGCTGTGAACCAGTCACTGTGCAAGATACTTAACACACATTATTACTTCATTCAAATGCCACATGAACCCCATGAAGCAGGTGCTATTTTGATGCCTATTTTACTGTTAAAGAAGCTGAAGCTGCCCTGACCAGTGTGAATCAGTGGGTTGGGTATAGTCCTGCAAACCAATAGGTCGCTGGTTCAATTCCTGGTCAGGACACATGCTTGGGTTGCAGGCCAGGTCCCCGGTTGGGGGTGTACCAAAGGCAACCAATTAATGTTTCTTTCACACAACAATGTTTCTCTTTCTCCCTCTCTTGCCCTCTCTCTAAAAATAAATAAATAAAATCTTTAAAAAAACAAGCTTAAAGAAGTTAATGGCCTTATATGATACATATCTGGGTTTCACATTCATGATAATGATAAATATACAAATATTTATTGAACAAACTTCGTGACACTGCAAAGAGCAGAAGCTTTGGAACTAAAAAATTTAAGTGTGAATATAGTCTCCATCACTTTTTAGCTGGGTACATCTAGTAAACTTTGAAAGCTCTGAATTACAGATTCCACATATCAAAAAAGGGGATTAAACACTGTACTTAACATTACATAATGTACATAAAATACTTGAATAAAATAAATATTACTTAAATATTTGTTTACCTCCTTTCTAGCTCCTCCACTGCATACCATGCAGTGAAAATACAAAAGGAATTATACCACCTAGATTCTCTAAGATCTTACTATCCAGTTGGTGTGAAGACTATTGAAGAGAATATGAGGCCAAATTGTAAATACTGTATAATGCTCTGTGTTACAGATTATAAATTCAGAGGAAAAAAATTATCCTTGATGATTGGAGTGGATCAGAGATGGCTTTATGGAGGAGGAATGTATGATCTTGGAGGAAAAGTAAAGATAGAGAGTAGCAGAAAGAAAGGTAATTTCTCTTCTCCCTTCTTACAAGGGCATAGGCATATATTAAAGAAACTATGAAGCTGCCCCCTTAATTAAAGAGGGTGGATAAGAATTATGAAAGACTTTGATGGCCAGACCGTGGAGTTGAGATTTGATAAAGCAGGAAATATGGAGCTAATAACAATTTAGGGTCAAGGAAAGGACAGAATGAGGAATGATAATAAATCTTATCTTTTTCATGAGGATATCACGGAGGATTCATATTTTTCCCAAGAAGAAAGGTATTACCTCTCCAAAATGTTACCCGAAGATATTTTTCATTTACAGAAAAGAAAACTAACAAAAAGAAAACAGGCCTCTTTTCTCACTTTATGCTGTAAAATAATCAAGAGGGAGGTAAAACCCAAAGCCTCTAACTGTGGCCCACATAACTTTTTGAATTACTAAATAGAACCATATTCTCATATTGGTCAAAACTGGTCAACCTTGGCTTATTTAAAACTCATCATATCAAATATCATTTATAGACTGATTATTTTGTGACATATTTTAATATGCAGTGCCACTATAAACGTTACTCCATGAAAAGGTCATACATAGCACACTCATGGAAACACAATCAATAACTCCATACAAAGATGCAAATTATAATTTCACAATCCTGAGACAAAACTGTTTTATCCTTCTAATGTATCTTTAAAAATGCCCACTATAGATATTTTTATATCCTTACCCTTTTACAGCTCATTACAAAGGAACTATCAATCAATTCTATAGCGTTCTAAAACATTTTAAATGAGCCAATGCGGTTTCTTATTATACCCCAGTCTTCTCCCATTACTCCCTTTATTTTAGGCTCTAAAACTAGGGCATTATTTTCTAACCATATGCTTCATGACAAGCTGGGATTATATACCTTTTTGTTTTTATCAAAATGGCACCCTTTTGGTTTAAGCTACCTCAGGCTTTTCTTAAATTTACAATTCTAAAAAAATTACTTGCAAAACAGAAGCAAAACTGGTGGGTCCCATTAAATAGAACAATACTTTAAAAATGGTAAGATTCTTTCCAGTGTTTTTTTGTTTTTTACTCCTTTACATTTGGCAGATTTATAATAAAAGTGAACTACTATTTCCTTCCATAGGTAAGTTACTATTGAAAGTGAGAGAAAATACAGTCAGTGCTCCACTTAGAAATGAACTGTGTATCTCACAACTGGTGTCTAAAATTTCACAACAAACTGGTTCATGAAATTTGAGAGGTTAAAAAATTATATGAATATGTATCAAAGGCTATTATTTGGTCATTTTTAATTTTTATGAACCATAAAATTATTCAACATAACTAAAACTTGGCAGTAGTAACATGGCTACCCTGAGTATTTAAAAGTTTTTCAGAAATGTGGCTAGGTGAACTGAAAGTAGGATATACTCCCTCAAAGAATTTCAGTATTATTTAAAAATCAAATTAAAAAAAAAAATGGCCAAAGAGAGGAAGTGCTTGGGGCTTAGAGCTCCTAAAATGTTGCCAACTATTCGGGTGCAAATAATAGTACAATAATTTTTAACAAGTGAAAGAATTTGATAAGTGGTTTAGCTGTTTTAACTGTATCCTCACCAATAAGGATTTAATTTTACATTGACCTAGTCTGTATTTCATGGACAAACATGACCAATTTTTAATTTTTATAATTATGATTAAACAACATCCCCCCACGTGAAGAAATTGTTTCTTTTCCATGCATATGTGAACTCCTGATTAAGTGGACCATGTGCATTCAGGTGTGCAGTTAGAGGCTGAAAGCAATCTTTTTCCCCCTTTACTATCAAAAACAGCATTAATATCTACTGTCACGGCCCCTGCGCGCGCAAGCACGCACACACATTCTGCGCCTGGGGCTTTCGTTAAACAATGGCAGTTGGAGAACAGATGCCTATGAAATCTACCAAATTTTACTCCATTACTTCCAGCCAAAATTTTAGTTATCTCCCTCAATAAGAGGAACTCGAAGCAATGTTCACGAGTGGGAGACTCCCCTTTCGTGTCCACCTACTCAGACTGGTGGGCTGGGACAGCGGGGTACGGAAGGCCTGACATGGGGCAGGGGGCGGTGGTCAAGAAGTTGCTGGCTCACCGCGGTGGAGCCTTTCTTCACCGCTTCTTGAGCATATTCCACTTGGAAGAGGTGTCCATCTGGGGAGAACACAGTGATTGCCCGGTCATACCGCGACGCCATCTACAGCGATTTTCACTGTGTGTCGAATTCTATAAGGGGAGGCCTAGCGAGGATCCACTCCTGCGGCTTCGCGCTACCCGGAAGTGGCTGGTCAGGCGCCCCGAGATGCCGCCCCGAGATGCCGCCCGCCGGAAGTGCCCGTCACGCTCTTCCCCAAGGCGTGCCGACGTCGTCGTCGAGCGGGCGGCTCCAGCTGAGACTGAGTCCTCGAGCCCGTTTACCGGTACGAGGCTCTTCTTGCAGGTTGGCAGAATTTCTCTGCTACCCTTAGTTCCTGATGGCGACTGTTCCAGCTTTCCCACCAGCGTTGCCCCAGGGGTGGTGTCAGATCACTCTGGTTATAAAAATGATATCTAAGATTAGGGCTTAACGATGAGAGTTTCAAAGAGCAGATATTTTTGCTTTCACAAACCTGTGGTAAGCTAAATTCCTTTGGCTTTAAATTCTTCATTTTCTTCTCTCTCTTGTTAGGCTATGTTGTTTCAACTCAATGGAAAGACATTTTCAAATAGTGATCTTCAGTTTTGTGTCTTGTGATAAAAATACAGCAAATGAAAATTGTTTTTTAATAACAGGAATTAAGATAACACTATGTTAAGCAAAGAAATGTTTTAAAAGCCCAAAATAAACTATTTCAAAGATATCTGCAAATTTAACTATAGTGGAAAGCTAACCTGGTGCAATTATTATTACATATGAAACAACTCTTGTCTCTTTGTCCTCATCAGTAAAGTAGGAATATTTAAAAATTAGTATCGAAGTGTTGCTCTGATTCTTAAATGTTTTTATAGGTGTGAATAATTCAAAATGGTGACAAATGGATAGTAATAGACAGTTAAGTTGAACTACTATTATTTACATGCATTGTTTAATATATATTATTTTCCACTGCAGAGGATCTTACTGTTGGTGAAACCAATCTTAACTAGAAAAGAAAAAAGAATAATTTCCTCCAAAAGGGGAAAAATCCATTCCCTATATTACAAAATACTTAATTTAGGATTTTAGTTGACTATTGAAAGCAATTTGTATATATATATATATATACATCACATCTTTTTTTTTAGTATTAGAAACTTTTTAAAAGTTTGGCTCTACTGAGTAAAACAATTCCTAATCAAAATAATTCACTTAGAGGTTATTGTACAATATTATAATAAACCAACATTTGTAAGAAGCTGTTGTTATTTAAGAAGTGTTTCAGTGTTCTCGTTAAGTGATTATAATTTCTTCTTTATTTTGAAATAATTACAGGTCACAGGAAGTTCCAAATATAGCACAGAAAAGTTCCCTGTACCCTTCACCCAGTTTCTGCCAATGGTAATTTCTTATATAACTGTAGTACAGTAACAAAACCACAAAATGACATTGGTAAAATCCACAAAGCTTATTCAGATTTTACTAGTTTTACATGTACTCATTTGTGTGTGTATATATACTTCTTGGGCAACTTACTACGTATAAATTGGCAAAACTACACTGCCACAATCAAGACCACAAAGATCCCTTGTACTGCCCACTTATAGTCATACCAGTCTCTCCCTACCACACATTCCCTGGAAACCACTAACCTGCTCTCCATATCTATAATTTCATTAAAAAATTTTTATATATCTTAAAATTTCTATCAGGAAAAAAATTTGTTACTATGTATGGTGATGGCTGTAGACTAGACTTACTGTGGTGATCATTTCCCAATATATAAGTATCCAATCATAATGTTGTATACCTGAAACTAATATGTTATTTGTCAATTATATCTCAATACAAAAGTTTAGTAAATGGAACTTCTTGTTACTTTTTATTTTAAAATAATTATATAAACACAGGATGTTACAATGATAGTACAGAGTGGTCCCTTGTACCCTTGTTAGTTTACCCAATTTGTTACATCTTATATAACTATAGTATAGTTTCAATACCAGGAAGTTGACATCAATATAAAATTGAGTATAGATTTGATTGAAAGGCATTTTGAAAGTGTTATGATACTTTGTAACCTATTTCAGATATATGATAGCATTAAAATGAATATTGACAAGAATTAATACACTCAGGATTCATATTGACAATACAACCTAAGAGTGTGGCTTTTGGTAGGTATATTTCACTTCATTAAAACTTTGTTTCCTGACATGTGAAAAGAGGGTAAGGATACCTACTTCACAGGATGTTGTGAAGAATAAATGAAATAATGTATTAGTGTATCTAGGGCAGTGCCTGGCACTTGAAAAATGAGCACTTGAAAAATGTTAGCTGTTATTATCAATAATTTAGCTAACTAAAAAGTTAAGATGATTCTATAAAAGAAATTAGGAAGTAAAAATATCATGAATCCATTGATATATTTTGAAAATGTATATATGTAGAAATATGTATTTCTAAATCTATAGAGAAAAGAGTAAAAGGATATACACCAACTTGACAAAAGTGGTTTTCTTTGTAGGAGGACAGGGAAAGTGAATGGTGAGACATGGTAAGGAGAGAGAAGTTATAGTTTTAAATTTTATATGTATATCAGTATTATTTTAAAAATTTTACAAGCATAGTTTGTCTTTATAAATAGTAAAAACAACATCAAGAAATAATGTAATGTCTTGAGGCTTCCAGAAATGGCAGTCTTGATGGTTTGAGCCAAATCTCCTATTGAGAACAACTAGAAATACTGGACAAAAAAATTTTTAAATATATATGGTGAGTTGAAAAAGGAAAAAGGATTTGTGGTATCAAGATTCAGTAGAGAAGAAAAACCCATAGGGGTAAGCCTAGTATTTTCCTGTTGAGGTATTTAAAGCCTATTTCCAATGCCTAGATGAAGCAGCTTTTTGATAGACAAAGATTGGAACTCAAAGCCTGTATAGGAGTCACAAGAGACACCTACGCTTTTGTTTGGGATCCACAGGACCATAGTCCTAAAGTAAAAGTGAATCAGAAATAGGGACTAAGGTCAAGTTTTGAATCATCTCAATCCATGATTGGGGAAAAGCAGTGTTTCTCAAATTGTGGCCAACAGATCTTTGGAGGTATCCAAAAACCTCTCAAAGGATATACAATGTCACAACTATAGTGATAATATTAAAACAGTATTGTCATTTCACTGTGTGAGTATTTACATTGACAGTGCAAAAGAAATGGGTAAAACTGCTGGAATCTCACCATAAATCAAGGTGGCAGTAGTACCAAACTGCACTAGTACACTTTACATTATTTACCACACTAAGTAAGCACTGATGAAAAAAATGCCAATTTCATTTTAAAATGTCATTGAATATGCAGTAAATTATCAATTTTATTAAATCTTAACTCTTGAGTATCTATCTTTATGATATTCAGAATAACAAAATAGGAAGTACACATAAGGCACATCTGCTGCCTTCCAAGTAAAATGGTTAGCGTAGAAAGAGCACGTTAGTAAATTTTTCAGTTGCTGGATAAACCAGCCCCTTTTTCTCATGGAACACCATTTATACTTGAAAGAATGACTGATGCAGTGGTGATATTCGGGCAGATATTTCTTGAAAATGAACACAATTAACTTGCTGCTTTATTCAAGAAAAGCAACAGGCATTATGTGTTTCAAAAGATAAAATTAAAGCTTTTAAACAAAAATTAGAATTTTGGAAGGCTTGTATCCATCACCATGAACTTGACACTTCTCCATAATTAGACTTTACTGATAAGATTGGTGTTGATATTCAAGTGTGATTTTTTTAATATAGTGCTACATTTGGAAGATATGCACACTCAGTGACCAGTATTTTCCAATGACCAAGCATGATATACAATCATGCATAAATAAAAGAGACATTAAAATTGCTACATAGACCAATGGAATTTAATGTAGCACAGAACTAAAGTTCATTCATATGATTTTAGATTACAACTTTTAACTTTAAGAAAGTACCACCTTTTGAGTACTGGTTTAGTATCAAAGAAGATGTGATGATTGAAATTACTGAATGATTGATCTGAAGTTATCTCAAAAAGGCTGTAAAAATACTCTTCTATATTCCAATACATACCTTTGTAAGTTTTTTCCCTATACTTCAACCAAAATAACATACTACAACAATTGAATGTATGAGAATCCAGCTGTATTCTCTATTAAGGCAGACATTGAAAAGTTTTACAATCTCATTCTTCTAATTATTTTAAAACTTGGAAAGTGTAGTTTTTAAAATAGAAATATATGAAATGTGTCAATATGTAATGAGTTAAATATTTCTAATATGCATTAATTACTAAAACATTTTACTTTTAATTTCTAATATGGTAAATATTGATAGCTATAAGTCACATAAACAAAAGCTTTTTGAGGTCTTCAATAGTTTTTAAGAGGTTAAAGTGTTTCTAAGGCCAAAAAGTTGGGAAGTACTGGGATAAAGTATTGCTAGTGCCCCTAGTTAATTAGCTGCTTGGTTGAAGCAAAAGCAAATCCTCTGTAGAGGAAGATAAATATCATGCAGATCCTCAAATAATTTTTCATGTGCAATAATATCTTGTGATCAATCAAAAATTAAATATTTATACACAAAAAAATGGTGTGAGCAAAGAAGAAGAGAAACAACAGGCATTAGAAACAAGCTAAGACCTAGATAATGGAGTTATCAGGTGTGGATTTTCAAAGCAGATAATTATATTCAAGGGATTAAAGACAAGCTCAAGATTTTCCAGCAGGGACGTTATCAATAAAGCACCTATTGAAAATCATAGAAATGAAAACCACAGTAGCTGAGATTGGGAGCTCAGTAAATGGATAAATTCATTGTTATCAGCACTACCCTCTGATCAAATGCATTAACTGGCCACTCTAAAACCCCTTATTATCAGACTAAACTTAGTTGAAGAAAAAAGTGGGGAACTAGAAGGTAGTATTAAAGATTTATGTAAATATATCCCTGGCTGATGTGGCTCGGTAGACTAAGTGCTGGGCCTGTGAACGAAAAGTTCACTGGTTTGATTCCCAGTCTAGGGTGCATGCCTGGGGTGAGAGCTAGGTC